ATATTAATACAAATAATTTATTAAATATATAAAATATGTGGGAATAAATTATATCTATAATCATTTACAAATTTTCTAGTTTCTTATTTTAATATTGCTTACCGTAAATGTTAAATTTTGTATTAGATATTAGAAAAATCGATATAAAAGTATTATGGAAGAAAAAAACTGAAAAAAAAATGTAATACTCGCGATTCGATTTCGTGTAAATCTGAACAATGACTTTTCAAACACAGCACGAAAAGTATTGTACCAGCGGCAGTTTGGAAGAACGTTGGGGTATTCGATATGAACTCGGGTAATTTAAAAGGGCCGACGACCCCCGTTGTCATTTAAAGGGCTGGAGACCCTCTCATCTCCAAACTATAGAAACACATCGAATGTTGTATAAGCCTACATACATGGTGTCCAAAGCATGAAAGTACACAGAAACCAGTTCATAACTAATTTCTCAATATCAGAAATTATTTCAAAGTTTAATTAGAAATTTAACAAGTAGTTGACGGAGTAACGAGAATTGGTGATTAGATCATTAATTTTCAACAACTCTCCTTTATCAGTACAAAAAATTAATGAAAATCCTTCCTAAATTATTATCTATGGCATGATAAATTATAAAATGTGAGCAGGTGACTAGCTTCATTGCTATCTAAGCAGAGAAGCAATTAACTTGGAAATATATTCATAAAAAACGAGTGTGGCTCAATTTCATTAAACAGTAAAGTTACATTAGCGAGAAAACGAGATAAATTCATTTTTATTGAGATACATCTTTATGGCTTAAAAAGATATTATCGATTCCAATCAACATTGACTAAATAAAGACTTTAACGAAAGAGATTCTTTAAGAGATAGAACGAATATAAAGTAAGCGCGAATAGCAACGAATCGACTAGAAAAAACGAACACGAATACGAAATTGTTGAAATTCCTAAAAATATAGATTAATTTTAATATCCGTTCAATTTATTGTCTTTTTTCTCTTCATTTTTTTTCTAATTCTATTTCTAGAATTAGAAAAAGTTGAATAGGCTTTCTACAATAAAACATTACCTAAACTTTAGTAGTCATAAACCGTAAAAAATTGATCCATCACAGTTAAATATGAGAAAATAATTGGCTATAATTTGGTCAATTTTTACAGCTTAAAACTGAAAGCTTAGATAATGGCTGCTTATAGAAAGCCTAGAAGAGTTACGAATTTTCTACAATAAGTCATTATCTAAGCTGAAGTCTTAAGCCATAAGAAATTGACCAATCAAATGTGAGAGGAATAATCGACTAGGATTGGTCACTTTCTTATGGCTTAAGACTAGCTTAGGCAATGACTTGCAGAAAAACTAAATTGATGGAAAATCTAATAATAAGTCAGAACCAAGATTAACATGAAATTGCATAGATAAAAACAAGCAAGATTCGAGAAGAGAATGATTCGGCAAACTCTTTCACGCGGAACACCCGGTAGACGCGTTCGCTCGTCAAAGCGTAAAAGGAGAAAGAGGAGCGAAAGAGGGAGAGATAGAGACAGAGTGAGGAAGGGGAATTACGTGTGGCGGCTATCGTAGGGTGCCAACCGCGATGTTCACGGTTAAGGCGAGTACACACACAGCTTCGACACGTTTATCAGTCGGCACGAGCCACTGAGCTCGTACATTTTTATTCTCTCCCACTCTTTCTTTTCTATGTACGCGCTCCCTTCTCTCATCGCACGCGCCGCTCTCCCTTTTTCCCTTCCTACGTTTAGACATCAGCTGTCCTTCAGAGCCTTCCTTCCTTGTGGTGGTCGCTACCCTAAAAACCGAGCTGTCCACGTTGCCGCGGGATAACAGACAGCTTTTATTACGATCGCCCCGTCCCTCCCTCCCCCTCCCCCAAGTTTCCGAAACGGACTGGATGTACACACGATGCGTCCGGCCGTCATATGTGGAAGTGCATTTGCACGGGACAATGGTATGCCGTACTTGCTTTGTTTACATCGTATGCAACGATGGTCGGACATATTTCCTTAATTTACACGAATACATTTAAAAAGTTATACGTACTGGCGATGTAAAAACGATTGAACGAGGCGAAGCACGTGTAAGACAAATGGCACGTGTTTTACCACGTTGTTTTTAATGAGACTTTTGTTAAAATGAGACGAAAGTGGCATTCAATGTGTCAAAAAAAAAAATAATAGATATTCTTTAAAATGATTTATCTAACTGATAACTTATCTAAATATATCTAGAAACGTAACATAATTCGATTTTAAACATGTATCGTGGACGAGTAATCTCGTCAATATTGTCTTTAATGCACACATTAAAAATGTTTTAAATTTTAATAAATTATTTATTTGAATTGTACGAACTAAATGTTTACTAAATATAAAGATATATATATTTAGAACAAAAAACCAAATACCATCAATTAAATCATAATTTCTTTATTCAGTAAATATTTATTTACTGTAAATTTTAGTTAGTTAGTTTATTCAAATAAATATTTATTAAAATTTACATTTAGTACATTTTCTCTCAATGCATATTCGAAGTTATTACACATTTGGAGTTGCAGTAATTATTCGATGGCACTAAAAAGTGAGACAAACAAGATCGTAATTACGAATTAAAGAATTAAAGTTTCGTCGAAATGTTTACAATAACTATAATAATTCATGTTTACAATAACAAGATTACAAAGAGCATATTCGCGGAATGCAAAGGCCGCCGACCACTCACTCGCGTCTCCTTTGTTTACGAACAGTAAGGCGATAAAAGCAACGCCGCCGCTCGCAGGAGGCAGAAAAGTCGCGGTGCGCTTTATCGTAACCCGGCATCTTCTACGGTATCGATCCGCGTGCGGCGTTCGCCATCGCGATATATTTTCGGATCCGACAATGCCGAAGGCGGGAGAAAGAGAGAGAGAGAGAGAGAGAGAGAGAGAGAGAGAGAGAGAGAGAGAGTCAATCTTCGCCACCGAGTTGATATATTGTCAGCGCATCGGGAAAGCATATCGTTCCGCTCTGACTTTTGAATCTTCGCTTCATTGTCGTCATCCGGATGACGTGACGCGTGCACGCACGACACCGGGGAGGGAGGGGTAGTAGCAATGGAGGGGGAAGATATGATCGGCGACCCTCGACAAAACTTTCAACGTAACGCGAGGCTATTTCGTGCGTCCTATTGAAGGGCTACTCGCTGCGAGATTAAAATATTTTACTAACTAAGAAGTAGAATGTGTTGTGTTTTCTAACAAAATCTTATCTCATTTTTTGTAATGTTTTACTGAGAAACCTAAAAAATTTCAATTCATTTCCACACAATAGCATTATGATTTTTTTTTAGAAATTATGCGATTAAAATTATTTGATTTGATATCTCAAATACATTAAATTTATTTATCTCAAATACATTAAAAAAATGATAAAATAAATATGAAATTAAGGAATATATGCTATTTAATTTTTTTTATTTTTATTACTCTAAGGAATTATTTTTCTCAATAATATTTTATTAATCCGTCAAACATCAGGTAAAATTAAAATACACATATATACCAGTATCCTTCAAAAGATTAATATTAATTTCGATTTAATTTAATATTTACCTTCTTTTAATATTTGAAATTAGAAAAAGATAGACTAAATTGAACCGAGATTAAAGTTAACTTTATATTGATGGAAGTGAGCTTTATACCTGTTTCAATCGATACAGTTTAATTTTAATCTTGGTTCAACTAACTTTTCACCTTTCCCTAGTTCTAAGAATTAGAAAAAGATGAAGGGTGAGTTGAACAATGATTGAAATCAATTCACATTGGTCGAAACGAACATTATAAACGTAATTATCCACACGCGTTGAAAAGAAGTATCGATATGTTATTAGATTATTCAATGTTCACGCGAAATGTTTAACATAAATTTAATGTACATGAAAAATAATTATTGCGAATTGAAATATGAAGAAAAACGAGATGGATGCCCGATGAGTTATTTCGAAACAGCCCGGGACTATCGATCTGGCGAAATCGATAGAACGGAAATACCGTTTTATTCTGGTAAATGTTACCCTGTTATTTCAATTTAGTAGCATCTTTCTATTCTGACATAAAATAGCAACACTTCATTATTATGAATATATTGAATTATTAGTTTATCCTCGCTCTTCAATTCACGTTTAAAATTAGATTTTCATTTTAATATCAACGTACAATTTAAATACGCATTCAATAATTATGAAAACATACAACTATAAATATACAACCGGTTAGAGTTATTTGATCAAAACCAGGTTTTCAAAAAAGACGGGGGGGGGGGAGTTCGGCGAAGTATCAAATCCATCCATTTCGAGGTCCCAACTGCCAGAGTCGAAAAAAAAATTTTCTACGAGAAACTCAAAAATCAAAGAGCATCTCGCCGAACAGTTCGATAAAGGGGGAACGTATATTACGAGGATATACCGCTAGGC